ATAAACACAAACTACATTTTCAATAAATGAATAAAGTACATTAACAATTTCTGAACATTTTAAATGATTTATGATTATTAACAATTGGAAATTGTTGAATTAACATTTAGACAGTATATTTGGGACAAAAATGCCCCCTTAATCTTCTGTGGCCTCCACATCTCCCCTTATAGCCACCCTATATCCGCCCAAATGAATACTAGTTATGAAAGTGTTAATAAATATTTAACTTGTTTTTAAAAATTACGTCAAAAAGCAATTTAGAAAGGTTTTACCTATTACACTTAATTACAATTGAGTTAATTCAACAGTTTACAAAGTAAAAAACAAAATACCTGTAAGAAAAAGACAAGAAAACAATTTGAATTTCAAAGAAAATACAGTAAAAAGCAATTTAGAAGGGTTGTACCTAACACACTAAATTACAATCGAGTTAATTCAAAATTACATTTAGGACAATATACTAAAGTGAAAAAATACTCTACTGTGTGTTAATAATAATCGTAGAAATAATAAAGTGAAATACAAAACAGTTGAAAGAGAAAGACAAGAAAATACAAAAAATTCAGCATATTATTTACAAACTCATCAATATTTAAAGTGTATATTTGGGATATGAATATTTAATTTGGCAAGGGAGTAAATTGCAAATAAAAAAATAGAAATTAATTGTTTTATTAGAAAGATAAATAAATTTTATATGCCTACGCGGTCTAGACTGTCCGGGACTCGGCCCGGATGATCAAAAATTCGAAGTAGTCCCAAAGGCACGAAATTGAAACTTCATAAAATGAGTCCCAAGATCTCCTGGACAACGGATTTTGGAGAAGCACATCGCTTCGGAGATTGTGAGATTCAAATTCTGATATTTTTACAACTTTCGATCACGGCAGTTTCGAAAATCGAGTATGAGTCTTCCAGGTTTGAATCTGGACTCTCCAGAGCACTCCCGAAACAACAGGCAGATGTGGCAGCTTCCGAAAATGCTGATAGTCCTCTGAAACAAGGAAGATAATAAATATAAAAGCCATTTAAAATACATATTAAAGGCAATAACTTTGTATCTTAAATATTTTAGACTATTTAACTACTATACGAGCGTGATTCTTAGATAATTAACGTTAAATGTATCATAACATATTTAATAAAACTAATATGTACTGTATAGCTTACTTAGCATAAGTCATAGAATAATTCATTAGTTTAAGATATTTTTCTGTATTTAACAAAACTTATAACGTGTTGCTTACTTACTATAAGACGTAGAATAATGCATTAATTTAAGATATTTTTCTGTACTTAATAAAATTTATAACTTGTTGCTTACTTAGTATAAGCCTTAGAGTAATATAATTTTAGATAGACTAAGTAGCCAGTTATAATTAGTTTAATACATTTCTGTATTTAATAAAATTGGCGTATCCGTGTTACTTACTTAGCATAAGTCGTAAAATAATATAATTTTAGATAGATTTTAAACATTCATATCAATAAACCTACTCATTTTTCTCTTGTATGTTGTATGTATTATATATTATGCAGTTATTTAAAATAAATATGTTTGTTGTAATAAATGAAAAATTATGTGTTTAAATTGCATTATAATTGTATTATCATTATCTTGGTGTTTAAATAAATAAATAAGTAAATAAACTGAGTTTTTATTTCATGAATGTTTTATAAAGGTCCTTAGATGTGGACAATAGTAAACCCAAAAAAGATGAGAAAACATACGAAAATTTTGTTAATTTTCAATATTACCAGCGTCATCTTACGCTGAGGAGCTGAATTATCCTGAAAATAGAGGAAAAATTACTGTAGAAATTAGTTCCCGCGCTAAAAGTGCGAACTCCGAAAAAGACCTTATACGACTTATGCTCTCCTAATACAAA